TAATATATAATATTATGGTATATTATAATATTATATAATATTTATATAAAAATATATATATATATACACATAGTAAAAATAAATTTATATATAATATATAATATTATAGTATATTATAATATTATATATAATATTTATATAAAAATATGTATATATATATACACATAGTAAAAAATAAATATGTATATAATATATAATATTATAGTATATTATAATATTATATATAATATTTATATAAAAAATGTATATATATACACATAGTAAAAAATAATAAATGCCACGACTTTGTGTATCAAAACCCCGATTTTAAAATTTTAACTCGTCAGCGACGAAAATTCGAAGAAATTGACGTTCTCTCTCTCTCTTTTTCTCTCTCTCTCCCGGGAATCCTTCAAGAAATCTTCGAAACGAGAGACGCGCGTCGCTCAGCCCGAGAAACGAAATGGAAAATGACGAGCGAAATGGAAACCGAATTCCCCACGGTCCCCTTTGTTTCCCTCGAAGAAACCCTCTGGAGCTCGACAACGATATCTCGGCGAAATAAAATGGTTTCCAAGCCGAGAGTTTCGAGCTCGTTTACGTTCGAGAACGAGCGACAACTTGTCTGTTTCTCTGTCTCTCTCTCTGTCTGTATGTCTGTCTGTCTATGTATCCTCTGCATCCTCTTGTATTATTATCATCTTCATTTTTCTATCTGGTTTTGCTAGATAAATCGTAAGGATTGCTATGCTCGTTGCTCTGGTTCGAGCAACAGGAACCTCTCCCGGGGATTTGTTATATATATATTAATCCATCAGGCTCTCTTGATTGTTTTTTTACTATTTTTTTTTTTACTGTTTTCTTGTTTCCCCCTTTTCGATTTGTTTCATATATATATATATATATATATATATATGTTTGTGAACGTGTGCTGTTTTGATTGAATCCCTCGAGAAGAACGATGGATTTTCACGTATCTTCGTCACCGAACTGCACCCTCTGACACAGCACCTTGTTTCGATTATTTTACCATCCGACGTACATAATTGCCCGATTTTCTCCCGGTGTTTCCCTGTATTTATATTTATCTATATTTATCCACGGTGAAATGACGGGCCTGCAAGGTTAGTTTATGGTGGAAAGCTTGCAACGATTGGGAGTACGAAATTCAAAATTTTCGTGAATGTGTTTTAGTATTTTATTATTTTATTTACTTTAATTTAGATTCTATTTTTTTTATTTTAGATATTATTAGTTTATTTAGATGTTTCATACACGCAGGAATTAAAACGAATATTTTCATTCATTTCTTTTCTGTACTTACGTTCACATAATGTTTGAATATGTTATTTTGTATACTGGTGAAAATATTCTACGAATGGAAAAATACGTAAAAAATATTCTCCCATTCCCGTTTAATTCCCTGTATATTCGCGAATACACGATGAAGGAATTAATTTTAAAAATGTTACAATACTGTTCTATTTATTTCCGACGTAGGAATATTTTATAGATGCAGAGACCAATCGTTAGAGATATTGCGTATTTCAAAATATCGAATATCTCCGTTTGTTTCTTTTTCTGTTTCGCAACTACAAACGCAAGAATTAAACTACTTTAAATTTACACATATACGTGCAAAAAATTCATTTAAGAAAAATTAAAACCGCACAAACGGATCAAAGATCTACAAAAAATGTTTTAAATTCTCAAAATTTTCTAACCTTTAAAATATTCTAATACTCGCTGATATTTAAGAAGAAACTGTCTTTTTTTCGGCCAATCGTTCGACGCCGGAAACCAAAGATTAACTCTCGAGGCCCACTTCACCGCCCTTGAACGTTTCAATCTCTACGACACGAATGACTATCATCCACCGATTATTTCTCTCTCTCTCTCTCTTTTCTCTTTCTTTTCAACCGTGTGACCGCACATCCCTCTTTTTTCTCCCCCTTTTTATCAACGTCCCTGGTATCTGTAGAGATACCAACTCGATAACGACACTTTCAGATCTCGATCTATACGATGCAAAAAAAAAAAAGAAAAAAAAAATCGAGAGACCAAGTTACAGTATAAATAAATATGCTCGGTGCTGCTGTTACAGTTCTACACTTACGTTTCACTTTCTCTGTTTACCTTTCTCTCTCTCTCTCTCTTTCTCTTTCTCTCTGTCTCTGTCATTGTCATTTTAGAAATGAAAACGAGATGAATTTAGAAATTTAGAAAGCTACATAGAGAGTCATCGTTTTGTACGCAGCTAGCATTTCAATTATCTTTTGCGAAATAGCTAGAACTCTGGTGGCACTTACAGGGATGAAATTGATAAATTAGTATCGTTGGACGAGTTGCTTTTCGTTTCAATTGCACCGCGAGCGTTTCGTATCGGCTTGATCGTTTATCGAACGTGCGTCGAGGCAAAATTGTTCAGTGAAAATTAATTTGGAGCTTTTGAAGAGTGAATCGCTGAATTTTTAAAGTCTTTTTTAAACTCTTAAATTCTCAAAGTTCTTCAGACTCTTTAATCCTTAAATGCAGAGCAAGTTATGAATTCCTGGATTATATCGAGTTACTGAATTCCTCAGTTTTTTACTTAAATTTAGCATTTGCGAGATAATTTATAAAATTTCTTGTCACTGAGATTTCTGACAAATCGTCAGTCTTTGCAAGTGAATTACAAGTTTCTAAATTTATTATGCTCCTTCTTCCTTTCAAGCACAATTACAGATTCCTCAGTTTTCTACGAATTTCTACAAATTTCTCGGAGTAAGTCACAAACTTGTGTAAACTCCTCGCCTTCGAATACCTATCGTTTTTAACCACTTGCGCTGGCAGCTGATTGCGGACCGTAACGAGTGACCGAATCGTATAGCAGCAATTCGTCGCTTTCTTTCTGAACTCGTCGGTATGATATGATCACTGGATAGAGATTATTGAGAAGTAACAAATTCATTATTTGTTTTGTCTATTTTGTTTTACTTCAATATACTTTTTTAAATAAACTGAGGAAATGATTACAATTTTGGAGCAAAAAAATCTCGTGGCGCAACAGGTTCAAACGAACCTGCAAACCTTCGAATTCACTAAATTTCCTAAACTCCAGTCCTAGTGTAATAACATCCTCCAATGATTCAAGTAACACTCTGCAAATAATTCTCTGTCAAACAGAGACTCCGACTAAGTCCTGATAATAAAAGAAAAGGAAATTGCGTTCGATGCTCGGCAAGTCGGACTTCTTAGACGATCCAGTTTTAGACCACAGAGTTCAGTTATTTTGCAGCTGATATGAGATAGAACCTATCGAAGCATCCGCGTGAAATCCGCGACGCTTGCCTCCAGAAACGATCCAGAAAGCAAGCAACGACGATTCGCCGACCGTTCGGTCGAAACAACAGAGGAGAGCTTAGGCGAACCGTGCGAAATCGGGCACAAAGTGTCGGCGTTGCAGAAAGTTTTCCGCCTGTAATGAATCACCTTCGCGCCCTCCGCGTCGACATCGTGCTCCCCCCGAGCGGAATAATTCCCTCGGCACGAACAAAAGAAGCCCTCCCCCGATAAGGTAGATAAAGTTTCTACTTTCTCTGCCCCCTCGCCGTCAGAGAATCGTTCGCGGCGCAGCGGAACGACAGCGACAGAAGTTGTTTTCATTGCGCGAAACTAATTATCGCGCCGCGGGTTAAGATTTATAAAAGGGGGCGAAACGCCGACGCGTTCTCGTTCTCACGGAGGAGGGGAGTTGTTCGCCAATTCTGGTGGTGTAATTAAAAAGGAAATTCCTGCAAGCTGTTCTGCTTCTCTCTCTGTCTCTCTGTCTCTCTCTCTCTCTCTCTCTCTTTCTCTTTGAGGGAAACTTTGGTAATTAATGTAAATAAGTTTGAGAAAAGTTGGCGGTTAATATTGATGCAACGTCTCGGGGTGAAATGAAAATATTCGACGCGGGGTTGGGGGATTATTAATCTCGGGCTGCGGTTGGCGAATTTTTATTTGCCGCAGTCCGTGTTTTTGCTTTAATAAATCGAGGGCTCGATTATATAGCTATGTAATATAGTGAGAGTGACTTTTAATGGCTGCGGCAAGTGTTCGAAAAATTTGAGCGTTTTATTCGTGATATTGTTATTATAGTGAAATATACAGTAAATTCAATCATATCATATGTACGTGATATATAATGTTATAATAATATTAATAATATTATAATATTATAATATTATAATATGTTATAATGTAATAATATTATAATATTATATATATAATATAATATTATTCATATTATTATTGTATATATAATATTATTCGTATTTTATTATAATATAATATTACATATATCACATTATATTATAATATTATATTAATAGTAATAATAAATAAATAATAATATTATATTATTACATATATCACATTATATTATAATATAATATTATAATAAAATACGAATAATATTATATTATATATATAATAATAATAATATGAATAATATCATATTAATAGTAATAATAAATAAATAATATTATATTATAACATATATCACATTGTATTATAATATAATATTATTGCATATTATAATATAATATGATATTATAATAAAATGCGAAAAACATTGTAATATTACAACATTGACGTTAAAATATCAAAAATTTTGCCAATCTAACCTAAAATTATTACGAACACCTGTAAAATTAAAAACCGCCCTTGAGTTATTAACTAAAAAACCAGAGTTCGGAGAAATTTCTGTCCCTAAGCTTTCTTCAACAGAACAATCTCTCTCAGATTTTTCCCTACAGAAGGATTGCTTTCTGGTCGACTGAAAGACAAGCGTCACGAAAAATACAACAAAACCAGATAAGAATCTATCGCGCGTTGGCTCTGGTCTCTAGTCTGTGTATTAAAGCAAAGCCAAAAAAAGAAAAAAAAGGGAAAAGAAATGTATAAATTTTTACATTAAAAAAA